CCCCAAAACCCCAAAACCCCAAAACCCCAAAACCCCGTTCAAATTATCCGTAATTGGATTATATTATAAATGTCAAAAAGTCACAAGAAAAACCCGACAGTCAAATCTTTCTCCCTAAATGGCCATAGTAGACCAGTCAGAATGGTGAGATACAACAGAGATGGAGACATGTTCTTCACTTGTTCAGATGACACACTCATCATGGCCTGGGATAACGAAACTGCAGAGAAGGTTGGGACCTATGAAGCACAAGGAGCATGCAGATCCTTAGCAGTCTCTAAAAACACTGAGTACATCGTAGGGAGTTACAGACTTGAAGGAGTCAATATTTTCGAAGCAATGACCGGAGAAATCGTCCTTCATCTCGATATTACTGATTCATATAAAGCCGAATATGTCGAGTTTAGCTATGGAGATCAAGAATTGCTCATTCTCAATGCCAAAGGAGATAAATCAAGAATTGATATTTATGATTTCAGCAAATTAATTACTGGAGAAACTAAGCCATTGAGAACAATTTCCTTTGATGAAGAAATCACACAAGCCTCTTACGGATACCTCAATGAAAAATTATACTTGAGCACTACAGGTGGAAAGATGTATATTGTTGACCCAGAGTCAGGAGAAATTCAGGTAGAAGCTAAAGTTCATCCTGGACATACTATTTTCTCATTCTCCTTCTCTAAAGACTTCAGTATGCTTGCTTCATGAGGAAAGGATAACAAATGTAAATTGCTCAACCCAGAGACCTTAGAAATTGTTAAAATCTACGACAAAGAATCACCATGAAGATGTTGTACTTTCAACCCAATGTTCGACAATGAGGAGACTGATAAATTCCATATTCTCATTGGAGGAGGACAAGATGCCAAAGATGTCACAACCACAAAAGCAAAAGAAGGAAGTTTTGAATCAAGACTCTATCATATCATTCATGAAGATGAGATCACTCAGATTACTGGACATTTCGGTCCAGTGCACTCCATGAAATGGTCTCCAGACGGGAGAACCTTTGTCTCCACCTCAGAAGATGGTACTGTCAGAGTCCAGCGATTCCCACTAGAGTACTTAGAGTCATAAAAGTATTCAATTGAGGTATTTTTAAAGGGGTTTTGGGGTTTTGGGGTTTTGGGGTTTTGGGGTTTTGGGGTTTTGGGGTTTTGGGG